CCCTCCTGAGGAGTGACTTGTTGCTTTCTGTCCTTCTGTTTCTCTTAGTCTCTCCAGTGAGTGGGCATGTCCTATAGCAAAAATCCCTCTTAAAAAATATATGATTAACAATCATAATTACTAGGCTGTCTTGGTTTTTAAATTACTCTTGAGATCTTTATGAGAGTATCTAAAAAAATAATATTTTTCTCTTTTAGGAAGATTACCAAATCAAACATATCCTATGATATTTATGTTAACATTTTATGATGTTCTTCAAATAAAAGGACATAGAATCCATGTATTTCTAAATGTATTATAATAGAGGTCCCCAACCACCACGCCAGGGATGGACCATGGCCTATTAGGAACTGGGTCACACAGCAGAAGGTGAGCTGCAAGTAAGTAGACAGAAGTTCATCTGTATTTAGAGCCGCTACTTAGTGCTTGAATTACAACCTGAGCTCTGCCTCCTGTCAGATCAGTGGCGGCATTAGATTCTCATAGAAGCACAAACCATATTGTGAACTGCTCATGTGAGTGATCTAGGCTGCATGCCTCTTACGAGAATCTAATATGTAATGATCTGAGGTGGAGCTGAGGTGGTGATGTTGGCACTGGGGAGTGGTTGCAGTGTATTACAATGAGTTGCATAGTTATTTCATTATGTATCACAATGTAATAATAAATAGAAACAAAGCCCACTGTAAATATAATTCATTTGCATCATACTGAAACCATACTCCCCACCCTGTCTGTAGAAAAAATTGTTTTTCACTAAATCAGTCCCTGGTGCCAAAAAGGTTGGGGACTGTTGTATTATAAGACTAAAACATTGCATGCTCTCAAAGAAACAAAACATTAAAAACCATATAAAGGAGAAAAAAAAGATTACCATACTATGTCAACATGTAGAACTAGTCTAAGAATAAATTTATATATAAGTAAAATTAAGTGTATTGCCTGGTATCTTATCACAAGAAAATGGCTAGAGAAGACTGTCATCTTATTTTAAATAAATGCGCAGGAAAATCTGAACTGGTTGCAGGCAGAACTTACAATGGAGTACCCAGGAAAATACTACCACCAGGAAGGCTAAAGCTAGTAGGATAGGATAGATGGGATAGGATAGGATGATAGGATAGGACAGAACAGAACAGAACAGAACAAACAGCAGAGCGTAAAAACTACTCCTAGTTATTTTGATTTAATAAGCATAAACAAGAGGCCAGCAGGTGGTGTGGTGGTTAAGATGCTGGATGCTCACATGGCCAACTGCAGTTGAGTCCTGGACCTGGTATCTTGCTTTCTCACTCTCTCTCCCCTACCCTCCTCTCTCTCTGGTGAGCACATGTGCTCTATAGCAAATTTTTTAAAAATAATAATAAATAAAATTAAATAAATAATTCTCTAAAAATAAGCATAAACAAGTAATAAGTCAGTTATGAATCCTGTTGATAAAAAAGAAAGCAAACACATTGCATGAATGTAGAACACAGGAATGTGAAAGTGTGTGGTAAACAGTTTTTAATGTTAATTACCATTGCCTTACACAAATTTCCACACAGAATTCAGTGACATATCAAGATAATACATCAAATACAAATAAAGGATATTTGGCTTATTAGTTGTGTGGTCTTGTGAAATATTTACTTCTCTCAGTTTTTTCATGTATACAGTATAAACAATGTGAAGTGCTGTTTAGAAGATGAAATGAACTAAAATGTAAAGTCTTATAAAGACTCATACATAATAATTAGTCAATTTTGAATACTCAAATAATATAGATAATTTATAGACCATGAAGGGAGGAACAACCAATCCTCAATCTAAGTAAAAAATCAGAATCAGTTAAGAATTTGGTAGGTCCAAATTGAGTTGACTCATCAAGAGCAGTAGGTAGATGCAAAAACAGATAAGACATTAGCTCATTAAGATTATAGTAGGTATAAAAAGTCTGCTTAAGATATATTAATAGATCGCTAAATAGGAATTATAACCAAAATATTTTAAAATTGAAATTTTATGTTTTTCAAATAAGGGTGTGAGATAGTTTGCAGAAGAATAAAACAATGAGTATATTAAGGATGAAGAAGTGTGCGGTGGATTCAGATAAGTGTTTTTTAAATAGAATATGCTATTTATATCCTACTTATTGGTTAGTAGAGCAAGGGCTATGAGTCACAAAGGCATGTGTTTGAATCCTGACTTCACTTTGTGACCTTTGGCACATTATTCAATATCTCTAGGGGCCAGCAGGTGGCTTGGTAGTTAAAGGGGCTGGACTCTCACATGGCTGACTGTGGTTCAAGTCCTGGACCTGGCAGGTTGCTTTCTCATTCTCTCTCTCTCTCTCTCATCAAATTAAAATAAAGTTTAATAAAAATAATTCTTTAAAAAATATCATCTCTATATCTTAGTTTTATCACAGTAAAACAGAGATAGTAATGGTACTAACTTTGTTGGGTAGTTAGAAGAATTAAATGAGATAATACACACCAATGCCTGAACCAATAAATGTTAGCTGTTGCTACTTAAAGAATATCCTTTCTAGAGCTTCAAACAAAATATTGAATGTTGCTGAGCATAAAGATGTAGACATATGGCCTGGCACCCCTACCGATGATGTGGTCAATGATGGGCCACATACATGATTGTGGTCCTATTTCAGTATTCCAAATGGCCTAAGCGTGTAGTAGGTCATACCTACTACATCTAGGTTTCCATAAATATAAAGTTCACACAATGAAATCACCTAATGATGTATTTCAGAATATGTCTGTGTCATTAAGCAATGCATGACTATGTAATTTTTAAAAATAATTATTTAGCTATTTAATTCCATTTGTTATTATTATTATTAATTTTAATTGACCAGAGAGAGAGAGAACAAGGGAAAGGGAAAAATCATGCCACCAGGTCCAGGACTCCAACTGTGGTTGGCCATGTGGGACTCCAGTACCTTGAATCATCACGTCGCTTGCCAGCCCCAAGGCTATGTAATGCTAAAAATAATAAAAATATATCGCACTCAGCCAATCTTGATTTTACTCAAATAAAACTATGAATTATTATTGTTCATCTCAGAGCTATAGTTCCATAATGAATACAATTTAGTCATTTGGTCAAATATTAGTGAAAAAATACAATTACTTAATTTAGTTTAGCAGTTCTCATAGAAAGTAGCAGCAGTGACTCAGTGACTTAGTTTTCTTCTCCTTATTGAGTTTCTGAACCTTAATATGATAGCTACTAAATGCCTTGCTTATGGTAGATAGTCAATAAAACTGAACTCAATGTTATTTTCAGGTGGCCCACTTGAATAGGGGCTGTTTGAAATTTCTTTTGCAAATAAAATGCACTGAATTCTACACATGTTGAGATCAAGTCCAATGACATGGCCATTGATAACATGGGTCTTGGAGACATAAAGACCTAGATACATATGGATCCTGATTCTGAGGTATGAATTATGACTCCATCCAGGGCATGTAAATCTTTCTAAGATTCTTTCCTCAGTCATGAAATTGGGATAATAGGAAATGTGTTGACCTTAGCACAGTGCCTGGCATATGGAAGCGCTCATTTAACAAGTGAAATACACATAAAAGAACTTGTGAAAGATCAGTGCACACAGACTTTAAGAAAATGTTTCAAATCTTGTGTTAAAATCATACACATAATTTTCTCTCATGAACGGGAAAACACCTCAATATCAGCCCTAAAGACTACATAGCAACTTACACATATTTTCAACCATATGGATCTCTTCTGTTATAAACTATATTTAGCATATATAAAATTTATATACTGAAAACACTTTACAAGTAAGCAGCAATTTTTTGGAGACTATAAAAACTTTAGAAAACAAGTACACTAATGAAATGCATTTAAAATTTATATGTTAACAATTAAAATGAAAGTTTATTTGCTTTGAGCAAAATTGTAATGTTCTTAAATTAACTGACTTTGTATTCTGCCATAACCAAACGGTGAATGCATCTCTGTTCTGCAATGTGATACAGCTTCCAGAGGAATATAAAAATAGTAAGAGAAAATACTAAGTTATTTGAAAATTCATATATCATTAATTTGGTCTTCTGGCATTTTATTTATGAATATAAGTAAAAATATAGTGAGCTATAAAAATTTTAAAAAGTTCATAAATTCAAAGACCATAACAACTCAACAACTGTAAGTTTTAAATACTTACAGCTTATAAGCCCATTTAGAAATATACCTGGGAATTTTATGTAAAAGCATGACTAATAATGCTTTAAAAAATTATTGTATTTTTACTCTTATTTTTTCTCCACTGGTAGGAAGCTGAAACCATGAAAATAAAAAGCTGATTATATCACATGAACTTCTTTCCTTTTTGTTGGTTATTTTTTGAATAAAATTAGAAATTTTCTTGTCATCTTTTATTTCTATACATCCTTATGGAAAAAATATTAGAAGAACTTTAAAAATCAGTCATAACTAAAATGCCACACCTTCCTAGTGAATTATAACACAGAATTTTATAATTAATATTTCATAATTGCTGTCTACTAGAATTGGCTAACTAAAATTTTTAAACTTCCGATTTTAGCTAATATAAGTTTTAACAAACTTTGAACAATTATTTTCTCTAATAATGCTTTGGTTTGGGAAGATAAAATGAATTAAAAATTATACTTTTCTGTTTTATGTTTCTACATTTATATATGTGTGTGTATATACATGAATATATACACATTCAAATTCACCCAATACCTTGTTATATGTAATTAAGAAACAATTATGCCATTTGCATAATTTTTGGCTTACAATTTCGATATGTTTAACAATTTAACAGAAAACACTTCTATGATATTACTTACAGAAAAACAAATTTATAACAGCAATGTGTACTGCAAAATTTGATTACATTTATTTTCATGTCTGCAATGAGATTTAGGCAAAGAGAAAAATCTTAGAAAATGAAAGATATCAAAAGGCTTAAGTTAAACCAAACAGAAATTTTAAATGTCACTAACCCAAGGCATGCACTGCTCCTCTATGCTTGCTGGAACTCTTGCTTGTTTTAACCACGCAGGCAGCATTTTCTTTGAACTGTAGCTCACAAAAATTTTCAAGAAATTTTGCCATTTCTTCTGTAACAGTATCCAGGTAAGTTTCTTTAATGAATTTCAGTGTTGAGGATGGAGCTAAAATTTCATGTAACGTCTGAAAATCTTCTTTTATCATTGCATGTAACTTAAGCATTGAACTTTGGTATCCATGAATAATTAAGTCTAAATCTGAATCTCTGCTGTAAGGAGGAAAGCAGTTCTGTAGAAGTTTGGCCAACAGTTTATTCTGTATGTTTTGGTATTTGATTATAACTTCTGATTCTGGATAAAGAAACAAGAGTTGATGTATGCACTGAGTTTTCAATAAAATTTTTTGCTGTGAATTGTTTATTTCATTATGACTTTGTAATGTGCTCACTAAGAAACGTCGAAGACGCAGTCTTATATCATCCCATATAGACTTTACATCCAGAGAGGAATGATCTTCGACCGAATGTAGAGAAGTCCTAGACAGGAAATGGAAAGATGTTCCACTCAGAGTTGATGGGAATGAAATACTATTCTGGCAAAAGAGGTCCCAAAGTAAATTCAGTATCATTTCTTCTTGATTTTCTTCATTCTTCAACAAATCTTGCTAATAAAAAGTAAATTATAAAATTAGAAATGTGATTAACTTGAAGTACAACAAGAAAAATGATTTATATGATTGTATAGAATAATTTCATAATAATTCACTTCAATGTAAAACAGAATCAGTATTCTGTTGTTCTAACAGGTAGGTATTTCTTTTTTTATATTAAATTTAATCAGTTTAGACATTTTAGAATGTTAGCCTTATGGTCTGTAAAACTTTGTAAAGTCAGTTGACTATCTTTCCAATTAGATCTCTAAACATAGAGATTTTTAGCCCTCATTCTTATCTATCCTGATATAACCTGAGATATATGAAAGCTGTAGCTTAAAAGTTCTAAATAAATAGCTATAGTAAAACATTGACTGGAAAAAAAGAAAAAGAAAGGGACCAGCAGTTAGCGTTATGGCTATGTCGCTGGACTCTCACGTAGTCGACCATGGTTCGAGTCCCGGACCCGGTAGCTTAAAACTCATGCCGGGCGCGTGTGCGTGCCTGCCCAAGATCCCGGGAGAAGAATGGAGGAGAAGGGATTGCGGTGTAGCCATCCCTGGGGGGTGATTTCTCGCTTTCTATCTCTCTGTCTCTCTCTGTCTTTCTGGTGAGCGCACGTGCCCTATAGCAAAAACCTCTCCAAAAAAAAAAAAAAAATTGACTGGAATGTATTCCTAAAACAAAATAAATTCAAGATCATGCCCCTGATTAAGTCATATACATAATTTTCATGCCTGAATGAGTATACTTATTATTTTAAAACCCCAAACGAACATAGGATGCTTTATAATCATTCTAGAAAAGAGTAGTTTCTGTCTTGCTGGTGAGCGCACGTGCCCTATAGCAAAAACCTCTCCAAAAAAAAAAAAAAAAATTGACTGGAATGTATTCCTAAAACAAAATAAATTCAAGATCATGCCCCTGATTAAGTCATATACATAATTTTCATGCCTGAATGAGTATACTTATTATTTTAAAACCCCAAACGAACATAGGATGCTTTATAATCATTCTAGAAAAGAGTAGTTTTTAAATATAGTATGTGTCTAGGGTTACTAATGGCTACCATCCTGAGAAATAAAATTCAATGCATTGAAAGATTTCAACTTTCATTTAAATTCCTTTTTGAGAACCATGTTAAGATTTTACTTTGAAAATTAACCTGAGAATATTTCAGTCCTTTCAAAGAAATAACTCAAAATAGGAAAAAGATACTCTCACAATCATTCCCCGAAAAATTATATGAAATTATTCTTTTATACTTTCTGTGCTGAGAGAAACCAGTGGTAGGTGTAATTACAAATAGCAAACGGACAAAAAATGATTTTCTTTTTGAACTTTGAATTATACACACATGCCGACTCTGTAATTAGGTCTATTTCTAATACTGAAATTAGTTTATATTCTCTAAGTAGAAATGAGTTGATTACAAAAGAAATGTAAGCAAAGTTCAAGTGGCATAAAATCAGGCTAGCTTTGACATTTCTTATTGACAAAGATACTGTAGGCATTATGTATAATTTAGATTTATGAACAACTCCTAGACAAATTCCAGAAATTCCCTCCAGTCATTATTTGTACTGCATAGTCTAAATTAATGTACTACCTGTAATAATTATACCCAATAGCAATTTAATGTTTCATTATATAAAAAGCATCTTCCATACATTCTCTGGTTTAGTCATAAAGAAAATTCTGTGGCATGGATTTTGAAGACCCAACATATAGTTAAGAACAATAAAGTAAAGCATGCTTAAGTGACTTTTCAAATGTCCACATACAATAAGGTACAGAACCAAGAATGAATCCCTCCCTGGCTTTATTCTCTTGGCCCATGTTCTTTACATTACACTCTAAAGAGGTACAAAGTACACCTTTCTGTAGCTTCTTTTTCTTCCTTCCCCCATGACATAGTTCCATTGATACTTCTGGACAAGAAATGTCCTTTGATAGAGTCCAGCACATACCAGAATTATGGTAAATTTTACAAGGCAAATGAGTCAGTATTAGTGCCTCAGCCTTGGATTTAAGTCAGTCTTTAAATATCTGATCAAAGAATGATAGATTACAAAGGTTTAAAACATGTGTTTAGTATGATTGCTTAAATTTTAAAAATAACTTTAGTATAACTGCCATTATGAAGAGACTTCTGTTTCTTATTTAAATAGCTTGATAATTAATAAAAAGTTTCTATGAAAAAAATAAGACATATGAAAATGCCATTCAGATTGACACTTTTAGCATGTAGAAATTTGATAATAAGGTCACTGTAATCTAGATCTGCTTTAATAATGTGGTTCCCTTCCTCAAAATAATATAATCAATTATGGAAAAAAAAAAACCCTAGGTCTGGAACAAGCCTATCAGTCTAATGAATTCGAGCAAAAACTAAGGCGGCCTTTGCCCTGCAGTGAATAGAGAATGACTTATGTGTGACAGATTAAAAGATAATTAAAAGCAAAAGCTTTTAATTAAATGAGAAAGAATTATTACATCAATATTAATGAAATTCAATACACATGGCTCTTAATAGAAATTAAAGGAATAACTATATCCATATTTATTCTTCAAGGCTCCACCTTTAGGAGATAATGGGTGAGAGCATTCTCTTAAAAGAATAAGGCTTCAGGGCAGAGTCTTCCTTTCTCTTCCTTTTATTACTTTGTAAACATTAAAGAGACATCTGTAATAACAAGAACAGCCAAAAACTATTTTCATCTGCTTCTGTCATCCTAAGCCATCTACAACCTCAAGATATTTTCCACATCTGCCTTAGTCAATGTTTGATGTTTAGACAAAAACAGTGCCTTTCCCTTCTAAATTAAATTAAAACCATAGCTATACAAATACTGCTTTCTAACAATTGTGCTATTTCTTTGGGAATCTGTTTTTGCATGCTAGGCACATTTGTAGCTATAGGTGCAATAAAAATAACTATTCTTGTTTAAGTTTACAAACATTTATCTAACATAGAGAGTAGTTTGTATCAAAGACTGGCCAATGTAATAATTCTCCATAAATTTTAATGGCTATGTATAAATTACTGACTTGGTTGGAAAGAACAGGATATGACTGAAAGGTGTAAATGCTAGGCTACTTAATACATACAAACAGGACCTTATTATGCTTAGTAATGGGCACAGGCAAAATTAGTAGTTGTAAAAGAACACAAAATATAATGAATATAAATGTCTCTGGTAGATAGTTGTGGTGTACACCAATACATGTTTGTGGTGCTGACACGGCATATACCATACCACAAATCCCCAAGGAATTATAATTTTTAATCTCCATTTACATAAAATTTAAATTTATTGAGAAAAATCATAGTAAAAATATTTCACCAGATTCTATTGGGGATACAAGAACGAAACAAGAAAACAATACAAATATCCAGATATGACAGGCTAATATGGTCACCTATACAAATGGAATAAATTTTATCCCCTGTTCACCCACCCCATTAAAACACAGATTCCCTTTTTACCAGTGTGCTGAGGAATTTTATCAAATCTCCATGGGGAATGGAAGGTGATTTCGATGGATTATAATGATAGTTAGTTAGCCATTCAAAGCAGTCAGATGTTGTTTGTAGTTCTACATCTGGACACTGTTTGTTAACTTCAGACTGTATTTCTTTAATACAGTGCTCTATGCTATAAGAAAGAAAAGAAAAAAAATTATTTTCATATTAAGTAGGTAATGGCTCCACCTCATAAAATCAGATATATTGTAAAATACTCCTGATGACTGTGAAAAATCAGAAATAAATTATAAAATGAGCAGATTATAAATCTTTGTGAGGTAACCTGGTGACCATTAATAGTGTCATAAGTAGACCCAAATGGATATGACATACTACTACCACCTGATGGCAGCATATCTAAACTGCAAGAAAGCTGGAAACAGCGAAATCCCCTTGAATTTGAATCCCCTCACTCAAAATTAACAGTTATGCATTTGTCCTATCACAGTATTAAGAAAGATTTGTAGCTAAACGGTAAAGCTACCATTTTGAAAATATAATTGCTGTTAATTATAGGTTCCACATACTAGAACCATATAGACATTAGAAACCAAACTGATTATTAAAATTGAGGTTATATGAAAGTTTTGAAAAATTCATCACGTGTCTATTACCTATAAAACAGAAACTATAGAAGTTTAAGTAAAGTTTTTTAAGAAACTTTTAAACATGGGTGAATTCAAACTAAATTATCTTGAAACAAATATGTTCTGAGAATCAAAGAACCTTTTCATGAAAACAAAGAACTTAAAAGTAAAACAATACCTCCTCTGGCCACAAGCCACTCAATTTCCTGATGGTACAGTTTTATTTGGGAATTCCAGGTCTAAGTCTGACAAAAGATTGGCATGTATTTTCTTAAGTTACGTAAGCACTTCTATGGACTGAGAAACATGACGCCCTAAGCATACACCTTGACTCTAGAGACCTTTTATCAAAGGTTTTTATTATAGCATCCTCATGTGTCTCATTCAATGAAACCTAATAGATCACAGCAATGTGAATTGGAAAGGCTCAGCAGTTAGTCTACCTAAATCTGTTTCAATCAGGACTCAGCTTTTAGGCTAATCTCTAACATCTGAATCTGGATAGAGGCCAATAACTACAATTTATAAATAGAGTAAAGCCTTCAGAGGACTAGAATTTTAGTAATTTGTCCAAACACTGATAAAGGGATTGAACATTTCAGAGGACCTCCCTCTTTGATACAAACTAAGAGAATCAAGTTTGCTATTAAAAATGATTTTATGACAGATTTTAAAATGTCAAAACTTGTTATCAGCAACTAATTTTATCGTTAGTTGCCTAAATACCTTGTCATTCTGCCATTCACCACTGTCTATGCATCTTATTCTAAAAACTTAATTATTTGAAGTTTAAAGATTTACTATCTGATTGTAATACAAGAGCAATATTTATAAAATTTAAAATGAATTTCAGTTTAATATATAATCTGATGATTTATCATCTTTGAGATGAAAATTAAAAACTAATTTTCAACATTAAAAAGGTTCCACTTATTTTCAAATACTGTATAGTAAACTGTTGATAGGAATAGTAATATGAGGTTTACACATTCTTGGGACTTAGATAATGCAAGATGATAGTTGAGGTTTTCTGAAATAGTATTTGTCTTTACTGAGTTGTTGGGAAAGTCATTAAAAATGCGTCATGACTTTCCTGATGACCTTATGATATAAGCATTTTGTTTGTTTAGCTCTGAGTTTCTTCGAAATTTCTTAGAAGCAAGGCCACTTGGGGAAAACACAACCAATGTAATTCAACAAAGATAAATCCAATTAGTACACTTACTGTTATATGCCAGACACAGGGCAAAATGTGAAGAAGGTAAAAGATTCTACATGCAAAACGTGAAGGAAGACTGCTAGATCTAAAAACAGTAGTAATCTTTCTTCCCTAAAAAGTTAAAATTCTCAAATTTACAATATTAGTTGACTTAACAAGGACTTTTAAAAGCATCTTTTTAGCTTTATTTGCAATATTAAAAGCCTTGGGAACAACCTAAATGTCCATCAAGAGGAAAATGATTAAATGAATAGTTTAGTCAGTGAAATAGAGTCATGAAAATGCAGTAGGAATACACATATCAACAATGGATGAATCTAAAAAATATAATGTTGGGGAGGACATCAAAATGAATACATGTAATATGGCATGATCCATAATAGTTTGAAAGCATTCCATATAATGCTATGTATTAAGATTGCAAATACAGGTGGTAAAATTGTAAGAAAATACACCAGAATGATCTACAGCACCTCTGGCAGGTTGAAGATGAATGTGTGATGAGACAGAGAGGTACATAAAGAAGTTTAGCTGTACTGGTAATGTTTTCTTGCTTTCTTCCTTTTTATTTAAAGAGAGATTTTTTGCAATAGGACATGTTCACTCATCACAAAGAGAAAGAGACAAAAAGCAAGAAAGCACTCCCCAGAGGAGAAAGTCATATCACAATCCTTCTCCTCCATTCTCCTCTTGGGGTTTTGGATATGCACACACAAGCGCCCAGTGTGAGTTTAGGCTGCGAGGTACAGGACTCAAAATGCAATCGACTACATGGGAATCCAGCAATGTAACCATTATGTCAACTGCTGATCTCTTATTTCTTAAACTAGAAGGTGGGCACATGAGTATTTATCATAGAATTCTTTATGCCTTTTCATATGTCTCAACATCTCTTAATAAATTAGAACCCCGATGTGCTTTAAGTATAGTGATGGAATTACCTAAATTAATGATGTGTACAAGTGGATGCATTACTGAGAGGCTATGTACAAATCCATTTAAATACCAGTTTTAAAATGCAATATGAGGGAACCAACAGTTGCGTAATGGTTATGTCACTGGACTCCCACATAGTTGTTGGCGGTTCGCGTCCCGGACCTGGTGGCTTAAAACTCACGCCGGGTGCGTGTGCGTGCGTGCCCAAGATCCCGAGAGGAGAATGGAGGAGAAGGGATTATGGCATCACCATCCCCCCTGGGGGGGTGATTTCTCGCTTTCTGTCTCTATGTCTCTCTCTGTCTGTCTGGCAAGTGCACGCGTCCTGTAGCAAAAACCTCTCCAAAAAAAAAATGCAATATGAACTATACTCTTTTTTTAGGGCATCTATGATAATTTTCTTATTCAACATTTACTCCTTCTTTCCTTGACTATAAAAATTGCTTACTGATTTAAGGCATTATATTCAACAAACATTAACCGAATGTTGAAAATGTGGTAGGTACTGTGATATATACTAGAGATCCAAATACGAATAAGACATGGTTCCATTTCTAAAGGAATTCTGTCTAGTGAGAAAGATAGATCTGTAAATAAAAACTACAACCCAGACTTCATAAAAGATGTGTTTGATGTACTAAGGGAATACACAGGAGGGAGTCAGTAAATGTGGCTGTAGGGTTGTGTGGAAAAGGCTTCTCATCAAAGAAGAGATTATATGCAAGAATAATGACACTAATGGAATCACTAGACTTCAAATTTCCTGTACCAGCTGCATGCCGACCAACTTGCCTGCCCCACTGAAGGGAAGAGAGAGGAGGCTGCTACCTATCCCCCACACCATCCACCCAGCCACCCCATTGGAGGAGTAAAGGAGGAGGCTTTGGTTACCAACCTGCACACTGTACACCACCTGACTGTACCATGTACACTATGTGCTACCACCTTGCACTCCACCTCCTTGGTTCAGCCCTTGGCAGCATCAGGCCCAGAGAGTTTGGTGTAAGTTAGGGAGCATGTTCACTGACCGAGGGAAAGAATGACAAGAAAGGCTGACCACTGCCACCCCTGCAGCCCACAGGTATCTAGGCTGTAGCCATTGACTCTGAGCAGCCTCCACTGAAACACACAAATACCTGGGTGGTGGCCACTCCCTATAAATAGCCCCTACAAAGAGAAGAGTCAAGTTAGACCACTGGAGGGGAACAGAGGGAGTAGGCAGTAACCTCTGGTTTGTATGGTTTCTACTTACAAAAGTAGTGAAGTTCTGAAGAAATTCCCTGTCCCTCTGGAGGAAAACAAGGAAAGAAACTGCTCTCTGAAAATTTTAACCCCCAAACTCCTACCATGAATTCCAGTACTTTAACACACAGAACAGAACTCTCACAAAAACAACACACATTCTAAGGAAGCACACAAGCATACAGCTCTAGAAATCTACTCCCCCAAAAACTTAGGAAGAAGTGAGTACTTTCCCAGATGCTGAAAAAACAACCCAGAGTCACAAGAAATAGCAAAAAAGTAAGAATTGTCTCTCCCCCAAAAGAACACACTTACCTCACCAATGATAGGTAATACACAAGAAATCACAGAAAGGTCAGAAAAAGAATTCAGAATATTCATAACAAAACTCAATGAGATACAAAAGAAAATAGACAACCAATTGCATGAAATGAAAAAAATCATTTGATGACTTGTAGGAAAGATTCCATAAAGAGGCAGCATAAAAACCAATCAAACAGAACTTCTGGAGATGAAAAATACAATATAGAAAATCAAAATTCCCCTCAAAAGTATTAAAAGCAGATTAGATAATACAGAAGACTCTTTGACCTTGAAAATGAAACCTCTGATTTACTCGAAGCCACAAAAAAACTGAAAAAAAAAAAAACATTAAAAATGAGGATAACATATAGAAAATTCTAGATGCTTTTGAGAGGCTGAATTGTTGCATAATGGGTATTCTAGAGGGTGATGAGATGGATTAAGGTATAGAACAATCTCTTAGAGGAAATATTATCTGAAAACTTTCCAAATCTAGAGACATAAGGACTTCCAGATTCAGAAAATATGAAGAACACCAAGATGCATCTTTCCAAGGCATATCATAGCCAAATTGGCAGAAGTCAAAGTCAAAGACAATATTCTAAAAATGGTGGGAGAAAAATAACAAATTAATTACAGAGGATACCCCACAAAACGAATCCTCAGATCTCTCAACAGAAGCAATGCAAGCAAGGAAGGAATGAGAAGTGATGCTTGGAACTCTGGGGGAGAAAATTTTCAGCCCAAAATATTATACCCAGCAAGATTATCCTTCAAATAGAAAGGAAAAAATAAAATCATTCCCAGATACACGAAAGTTGAAACAATTTACCAACATTAAAT